TCAGAATGTACCTGGTGCATACAGCTCAGAGATTGTCTCATGATTGCCTCTTCCCTCTCTCAGCACTTCTCTAACCTTCCTGAATAACTAACTGATCCTTCCCTCTACCTACCTGCATGCACACAATCTCTGGGTCTCAGGTCTTTCTAATCCCTCTGATGTATATCTCCTGTAACCATCAAAACTTATGTGCCCTGTGTTTACTAACCTGTCTGGAATCTACCCCTATCACACGGAGGAATCTACAAGTCTTCTTTGCCACACTATTCCCAAGCCTTAGTGCCTAGAGGAGTATGTGACTTAACAAATCAGTGCTCATTAAATATTTGAAGCGTCAAAACAGGTAATTCAATAGAGACAGGAGCTACCTAATTTGGACACTGGCATCTTTCTGTCAAATAGAAACCTTCAGAATATAGAGGTATTTCCTTGCCCTGGAAGCCAGACAGAACCGAAGGTTGTGGAAAATAGCCGATGAGAATTGCCATGGAATGATGCCAAACATGATATTTCTTTCCAGGCCTAAAAATCGGTGGAGGCTGTCCACCACAATGTGATTAGCTTAGTATCAGAAGCATCTGTGATCTGTACCAATGGAACGGATGTCTCATCCATCTGAGACATTGTTCTCTTCCTTATTGCTTGTACAAATATACTTTTTTTAATAATTTTTTTAACATTTATTTATTGTAGGGGGGGCAGCTCAGCCCACCAGGGGGCGCGGCTGGCTGGCATGTGGTGCTGGGGGATTGAACCGCGGTCCCTGTGCTTTGCCAAGCTTGTTCCAAGTAGGTGCTTTAGACCACTGAGCCATCTCTCCAGCCCACAAATATACTTTTATATCTTTCTATCTCATTTGCCTTGATGAAGAGCGCAGCAATATCCTTTGGGGAATAATCATTCCTGCAGAGAATCTGGCACTGTTCTGTCACAGAGTTCACCATGTTTTCCACATTCGCATACTCAGTACACTCTACATGGCCTGGGACACCCTGAACCCACTTAGCTTCATGGAGCAACACCAGGGACCCAAGGGGAATGTTAGGTGGAGGATTTTCTCTGACTTCCTGCATGACCTCCTGAAGGTAGTGAGCTATCACATCAGCATTTCGGACCATGACCATCAGCTCCTCTCTTGGATGCTGAGCTGCAAGTTCAGGGAGACCACTGCACTGTAAGTGGTTAATTCCAAAATAATCCAGAAAAATCCAGAGAATTCCTGGACAATTATTGTCTCTCTGAGTGATGCGTTTTGCCATTTTATACCAGTTTCCATCTTCAATGCAGAGATTCTGAGCTTCATCAATGATGATGTGTTGAATCTCTTCAAAGTTACTTCTCATGAAAGTTTTCAGGTTCACTGCGAGGCAGATGTTTTTCTTGCTGAAAGATTAAGAAACATGGGGCTGGTGAGATGGCTCAGTGGTCTAAAGCACCTACTTAGAACAAGCTAAGCTAAGCAAAGCACAGGGACCATGGTTCAATCCCCCAGCACCACATGCCAGCCAGCCTCACCCCCTGGTGGGCTGAGCTGACCACACACACACACACACACACACACACACACACAAATAAATAAAAAGAAATCCTCTGCTAACCAACGGCAAAATTATCCACATACATTTTCTACTAAAATTGTAAAGGTTTGTTTCTAATATTTAAGTTTTCTGAATTGATTTTGTATATAATACAACATAGCAGTCAAAAATGTTTTCCCTATACAGAAACCATCAGCACGTTCGGTTGCAACCAGAGAAGACAATTACCTGAAAAATAACTTTTCTGCTGTTCTTCTGGACTTTTTAAGTTCTTATGTGTGCATACAATCCTGCTTCTGGGTGTGGGAGATTACACTCTCAGGTCAAGGATCATCTCAGGAAATCTAGAAAGATCTCAGGAAACAAAAACCAAAAATTCAATACGCACACAGGAACCATTGAAGAACAGTAGCCATGTCCCTCCACTATCCCATGGCTGTGGGCCTCAACAAGGGCCACAAGGTGACTAAGAATGTGAGCACACCAAGGCACAACCACCGTCGTGGACACCTCACCAAACACACCCAGTTCGTGCAGAACATGATCCGGGAAGTGTGCGGCTTCGCCCGCTAAAGCTGCATGCCATGGAGCTGCTCAAGTTCTCCAAGGACAAACCACGCCCTCAAGTTCATGAAGAAAAGGATAGAGACACACATCTGCACCAAGAGGAAGCGTGAGGAGCTGAGCAATGTGCTGGCCACCAGGAGGAAGGCAGCTGCCAAGAAGGACTGAGCCCCTCTGGAATAAAGCTTTGTAGAAAGTTCAAAAAAAAAATCAATATGCAAAAAGACAGATCCCATTTTCCAACTGAGCCAAATCATAATACATAGCCATGATCCACAGATATTTGTGTTTCTATCCCAAATCAGCTCAGGAAAGTTTACTGAAGTTTCTGGAGGCAGAGAATATCATGTGAATGAAGAGTTTTTAATCTTTAATTTTATTATATTGAAACAAAACTTATGTTTTAGAAGGCTATTTTTAAAAATAAACACAATTAGAAGATGTGATGGTCAATCAATGTATGTTTCTGAGCAGATAGACTCTAAAGTGGACTTTATTTTTTCTGGACTTCTGAAAAAGTTACTACTGCTTTTCTTTTGTCTAATTTTATTTTAGCTTCCCTTTTCCAAGGCAGGTACAAGTCACAACACTACTCTTTAGCTTAGCAGTCAAGGGTAGCATCACACGTTGGCTCCCAAGCCAAGGGAAAACCACGGTGTTTGCTCATGATTTGATTTAAAAATGAGAATGGAATATAGGTACATTTCCAAATATCTATTTTTATTTTATTTATTTATTTTGGTGGAACCAGGGATTGAACTCAGGCCCTTGCACTTGCCGGGGAAGTGCTTATTTCACTGAGCCATCTCCCCGGCCCCTTCCAAATATCTAGAAGAAAGACTTTCATATCTTTTTACCACCAAGTAAAGATAAATATCTGAGGAGCTACATCTTGAGCACTAATTTGCGCATTACACAATGCGTACATATACTGAAACCACTAAAATTAAAACTCATTAAATATGCAAAATTCCTTTGTCCATTTAAGAAGTAAAATAAGACAAAATGTAATTGATAAGAGAATATGTATTACCAAGGACTAAATAAGAATAGAAAGTCAGGCTAAGGATATAGTTCAGCAGTATAAGCACGTGTCTGGCAAGTGAAAGGTCTTCAGTCTGAGTTTGATCCCCCAGTAACACACACACACACACACACACACACACACACACACACAAAAGAAATCAGACAAAAGTGATAGTAAGTTAAAAGGCACATCTGTTTATGTGTATATAATTTATGAAAAACTAAATAGAAGCTCATAGTCTGAAAGAGACTTTCAAATGAACATAAATAACTAGATCAAACTTTCTCCTGCATCAACCTTTAGCATGGCTACCAGCTCAAGGTATCTATTGAATACAGGATATTCAAGATGGCTATAGGGAGGGACAAGGAATGATGTATCTCTAGGAATTAATGTCATACATCTGTAACTCAAGAAAGAATCTCTCCTTCCGCAAATTCCAAATCCCATAGCTCCCTCTCCTATCTTCCCAACCCCCTCTAGCAAATACTATAATCAGCGTTGGTCTTGAACCCTGACCTGGGTCAGCTACCACCATCCAGGCTGCCCGTTCCTTCGCAGATAGTTGTCTCACTGAGTTGTCTTTCACTTGTCAGGAGCCAGGTACTTGGGCAAATGCTGCACAGCAGAATTGGTCCACTTTGACAGCAATGATGTATCCACACAGGGTACTTATCAAGTACTTCAAGCAATTTAATGTTATGTTGGATCTTATGGTTCTATGCACAGAAATGATGGACTGGTAACCTCTTTATACGACCACCAATAGAGTCCAACAAGGTAGCAGGATTTATTTTCTCTTTTTCACATCCAATGACTTGATGAGTGTCATCATGCACACCAAAAAAGACATAGCCTCCCTCACTATTGGCAAAGGCAGAAACTTACTTGGGAAGTGTTTCTTTAACATGTTGTAGCAGGTCTGTTGTGAACATTTGGAATTCAACATACATGGATTTGACAAAGTGGAGTTTTTCCAGGTACTGAAGCTGAGAACTGTTAAATAATTCATTTGCCAACTTCCTCATGTCACCTTCATCTTGTACACCAACCTCAGCTTCCTGTAGACTTAATGAGTTATGATCTATATTATTCATAGGAGTCTGAGACTTCCTTCTAAGGAATACCAGTGCTTCCTGAGGGTCCATGACCTCAGTAGATGTCCCAAGCCTCTGGTACAAGTTGGAGCACAAGGTAGCAAGTCATAAACCAGAGATGGCCATGTTCCACGATTTCACAAATATTAAGAAGAGGTTTCCCTGTTGCATCTTATCTATGTAGCTTCTGAAAAGTGTAGGGAGTTCTACCCCAACTCCATCCCTTTCATAATGGTATCCTTCATTATCAGTCTCATCCTTGATCACTCCCCCACCAGAATTCAGCAGAGCACACATTGCTTGCAAGATAGCATTATTCTGTTTCTCTCGCAATACAGGGTTCATTCTCAACCTTTGATCAACCCCGAGAGTGGCCTTTCCTATATCGATAACACACTCAGCAAAGTTGGTTTCCAGATCAATCTTGAGACTCATCTTGGCGCTTGGCTGAGTATCCTGAAATGTTCTCCTAAAACAAGAAAAACAGAACTATTAGAACAGGACAGAAACAGAGGAGGCAGGAAAATCAACAATTGCATGCCCACCCCCTGAAGATGATCATGTCACATATTCCCACGTATTTTGAAACCAGAATTTATTCAGGAATGCAGTGTATAGGACAGGTGAAGGAACTAAGTCTGCTGGATGTCCACTGCTGCATACAAATGACTAGAGGGCCCTCTTCCTGTGAGTGGCCTGAGGTGATCTATGAAAATGGTTCACTACTGTCTTGACCCAGAAAACCCCACAAAATCATGCAAATCAAGAGGCTCAAATCTTCACATTCACTTTAC